GTTTATTGATTTGGAACAAAAATACAAAAGTTCTTGTACCTACGCATAGGTACTTTTATATTTTACCTAATCATACCATACAAATCGTGCATCATTAGTCTGGGGCCGTTTAATCAAAAAGATAAAATAGTTAACACTAAACATTTTATGTACATTCGGTGCGGTAATCATCTCTTGTCAAATATTATGTGAAACCTTTTTATTTTTGTCGTTTAAGCTTGGGATATACTTCATAAAAGTTTAAAACTAATTTGTCAAATATCATACCCTTGAAACATATTTTTAACAAGAGTAGACCACAGAATGTAAAAAAAATATTTGGTGTAAAAGTATTCATATTTTTTACTTTTCATCAAGCAGGCAAAAAGTAATGACGCCTAATTTACAAGATCTAGTTATAATTATTCATAAAATGTTTTCATTGTTACATTTCATAACAACAATTTTTTCAAAATTTCTGGGAGCGTTGACAATTGTAGCAAAGGAGAATAATTTTTCAACGAGCCCAGAAAAAGGAAGTGCCGTATTATATTTAAAAAACAAGGTGTAGCTACTAGCATCGTAATATTTTTTCTTAAATCATCGAGATATTGTAACACTTCTAACTGTAGCCTATTTTTTTGTACAACCGAAGGTGTTACGCCTTCACTGAAATCAAAAAAGTCTTTATTTATAATATCTTTAGTTGTAGTACTAATAAAATTAGCGTTCAAATGAAGTGTCACAATTTACCATAGGTAATAATTTTTTATTCCGCTAGAGGGCGCTAAAATTAAAAGGAACGCAATGAATAGTCATATTGCTGAATTCCCCATAAAATTATCTTTCCGACGATGTGTCATACTTGGTACTTCCCTATTTAAATTGTATTGGTTAGATTGACGCCGGGGGAGAGGAATTATATGACAGTTGAGGACATTATAGAAAGGTGTCCGCCTTGAAATAAAAATCGACCTGCTTTTGCGATCCTTTCAAAAAAAAATCTACTTCAAAAGATATTCTGAGATACGGCCGGTCGCCACCCTTAATGAATCACCCTGTACATAATATTAAAATTTTATTGAATAATCTAAAATGTATCGTTCTGTATCTCGTTCGTACAAACAAAAATGAGACATATTTTACTCAAACTTGGTTATAGATCTACATCATCAAATAATTTCTTATAATATAATATATATTTATATTCAGATACAAGTGCTATTAATTTAATTAATATATTGCATTTTCTACGTTAAATTCAAATACTTGTAGCGCTATAGTAACTTAGAATACGTTTATTAAAATAGTTAATCCTTCATTTCAACGTAAAAAACGTAAAAAGTACTTAGTTTTTAGTATTTACCCTATAAAAACTGCTATTTGCACCACTTCATACTATATTTCCTTAGTTTAATGTTTATGCAACATAAATTATATTTATAATAATATAAATACAAAATACGTCTTAAAAATCTGTATCTACCCCTTACTATTATTATTTTGGGTTAAACTATTTCACTGCTTCACGGTACAACGCTTTTTTCAAATGCATTCAAACAAATGATATGGATGCGAGTCCGAGCTATAGTGACCGGTTCGAATAGGAAATTTCTTGAGTTGTATCTGCGTAAAATCCTATTCTTTATCCGCTCACTTACCCTTAATTTCGACTCCTCGCCACGGACCTACAAATAGAGCGGATTGTCGAATTAATCTTAGCATCGTAAATATTATATTTTATCAATGAATATCTCTGTTATCTCTGCTACTGTCCATTGTCCCCCAAAATAATTTGCATTAGTTCTACTAGGCTATCCAAATACAATGCTTTAATGGTAGGTACATATGGCTTGGCACTGTTTTCAAAAAGAAGTCACAATTTGATAAAAACTTATTATTTATCAGTGACAAATCGTGTACTTGTCGGCGACAGGCTCCGCGAGCAAAACTATTATTATTTACGAATAATAAATGTAAAATCAAAGAACTAACAATTTTGAGGGTCGACACAGAAACTTAAAAAATGATTTTCATGATAGTTATATCATACAAAGGTTATATCCATAAATTGGGTTATATCTTTCTTACTTGGGTATTTATATAGAAGGATTACTCCAGAGAACAGCAGAGTTAAAAATTAACCAACAATTTACTGGGACATAAAAATAATAAAAAAATAAAAAAACAAATACAAAGACAAAAATAACCATACCTTGTGAACCTTGTTTGTTTCTTTCCTAATACGAAGACATATACCATCCATTTTTCGTAAATTATCTTAAAAATTATAATAAATTAATTATATTACTTTATTGTGCTATATTCTTAATAATCAGTATATATAACTTGAGTTGCATAAATTAATTTTCCAATCCACTATTCGTTTGATTTTGTTAGGTATATTTTACTATTTTTAATGTGGATAATGATATATTATCTACTTTTCGATTTAATGAATTTTATATCTATAATATTGTCTTTTCGATAAAATATATTTTCGATCAAATGCCATTCGATAAAATGTATTTTCGATAAAATTTCCAATTCTATCAAATATTTTCGATCAATTTTGTGCCACCCGTGTTCCACACTCCAGAATTTTTATTTTTTGCGGTGAAACATATTTTTGCTCTTTACCAGTTGATTTTGATTGTCAAATTTTTTTATTACTTCATTTTAAACCACTTATAAAGTACTTTAGGAAAATTTTACCGTTCATATACCAATGGAGGCCGAAGAAAAAATTGTTAAAGTTGACAATTTTATGTCCCCTATGTCCCGTGACGTGTACCAATAAATTGAGAAAATTTAAATTTTGTTGTTACCAAATATCTACTTTTATTTTCCTATTAGTCCCATCTCTGTGTGTATTGAAGGAAGAGTGAACTAGAAAAATAATTCTGTACTATGCAATAAATTATGTTGTAACCAAAGATATCGGATATATGATGTCTATGGTTATAACAAAATCAAAAGGGATGTGTCGATTAAAATTGACTGACAGTGGGGTCTATTCTGTAAAAATTCCTTTATATTTAAAGGCCTTTAAAAATATTGGCGGCCTTTAAAAGTATATTTGTATTCATTAATTTACTTCTATCATTAAGAGATTTCTTTAAGATAGTCCTCTAATGTATTTTAAAGATCCGTTTAAATAGTGACCGAATTAAAGAAGAAAATATTTTTAAAGGCCGTTAAATATAAAGGAATTTTTACAGAATAGACCCCAAAATATTTTAAAATTTTTGTAGCTGTCGATGTGCATTTTAAATAAATACCAATATCTATATTAAAAATTGGTTACAAACCTAAACCGCTTGAATGCAGTTTGAAACTAAAATTAATTCATACAATTATGTATTATATTTCTATTTCTGAACAGGGCCGCCGAGAACCATGGCGGGCCCTGAGACAAAAACACTGGCAAGGGCACCTTATACAGGGTGTTTCAAAAAGGTATGTCATAAATTCTTCCACAGATAGATTACCAAAAAATAAGAGGATTTGTCTATATTTACCTATATCAAAAACTGGCTCCTAACAAAGTTACAGGGCGTTAAAGTAACATTCAAAAAAACGTTGTTTTTTTTTTGTTAAAAGTTTGCTGTTGCGAATTTTTCTTTGAAATTTTTGCCATTGCTGTAGAATTGAAGGCCCAATATTCCAAGGAGAAAAAAAATTTAAAGAGACCCCTTTAAAAAAAGTTGGGTGTTGGGTACCTTTTAACCCCCCCCGTATTTTTTTTGTCATAAAGAAACTTGCTTTATCGATCTAAAAATCAAAAAGAACTATGAATTTTTAATATTTTTTTATAGCAAAATGAACTTTGTATCTTTCTTAGTTAACGAGCTATTTACAATTTTTTAACTGAATTTCTAGAGCAATTCGTCCGTCCTGGACTTAACATATCAACAAAACTAAGAGTAGGTCAGGAGTTATTGTACAAAAAACGCATATAAAAATTAGTGGTGTGTCTAGGGTCGAGCTTGAGCCGCTCCTGCAAAAAATACCTCTTTTATTTATATTTTTGTAAAAATGGTATTTATAATATTGGATTGGCGACATAAAAATGATGTGCCACCCTTGGTTCACCATGCCACTGATAAAAATACACGTCAGTTTGAAAATGTATTTAATAACAGCAAACTTTTATAAAAAAAAAAACGTTTTTTTGAATGTTATTTTAACCCCTGTAACTTTGTTAGGTGCAGTTTTTGATATAGGTAAATATATCCAAATCCACTTATTTTTTGGTAATATATCTGTGGAAGAATTTATGACATACCTTTTTGAAACACCCTGTATAACTAGAGTTGGCAGATTTCAAAAAAAAAAATAGAAAAAAAATAAAAAAAACAAAAAAAAACAAAAAAAAAACAAAAAAAAAAACAAAAAAAAACAAAAAAAAAACAAAAAAAAAACAAAAAAAAAACAAAAAAAAACAAGGAGAAAAAAAAAAGGAAAAAAAACAAGAAAAAAACCTCCCGTCTGTTTCTGAATCGTTTTAAGTATTTAACATGAATTCTGGATTTGTGAAAGCAGATTCAGCTAATTTACACGAGGAAAACACAAATTATTTAAAAATATTTGGCAAAGTTGTAACAATGTGTAGTTAGTATAAATCTATAGGGTGAATTTAGGTGGGAAATTTAATCAAAAATGGTTTTTCAATCCCAATTTTCTTCTAATTGCTTAATTAAAAGGATAAATCAATGTTTCCTTATTAAAATAAACACCATTATTAATTGTTTCGATGTAAATTGAAAAATTCCCATGCTTTGTAATAGTCCATCTTACGTTTCAATTTTAGTAGATAATAAAAATTTTAAAAAATATGGTGGTGACATCTACTGACAAATACTGTATTTTTTTAAAAGGCCGTTACCCGTTAATAGATTTCTAAATTATTTCTGCAGCGGCGCAATCGCGGTGTAAATTCAGCAGCTTCCTACTTTTGCCGCTGACTGCAGCGACTTTATTTAAAGTTTATCATAAATTATTAGAGATGTCGCCACTAGCGGCGAAGTAGTCATTTGAACTGATTTTTGTGTTGTCAAAAATAAATTCATGAAGTTTTGTAGTGTTTTAAATATTAAGGAAGGTTTAAAAGATGTAATAAATCTAAAAGTAATTAAATAATAAAATAATAATTGCGTGAAGAAAGTTAAAAAGCGTTTAATAACTCCTTGACCGGTTTACTAAAGTTTATTCGCGCCTCGACAAATAACAGGGAACCGGCAGCCATGTTGTAAGTCTTGTCAAGCATCATGGGTTAAGAGTGCGGAATATGCAAGCAGCAAATCGCTTAAAAAAATCGTTTTGTATACATGCAGAACAGTGCATTTTATCTATAAACTGTGTTTCTTTTGAACGGTAGTTACAGCGGATCGCCTAGTGGTCGCGAAAGTGATGTTTCTGCGCATTTTTACGGTCAGAGTGCAATGTCGTACTAGCTAGCGCAGGGAGTCGTCTACTGCCTGGCCAACGACTGCGAGCTTCCAGCATCCCCAATTGCGGGAGGTGAGTTAAACGGACGTCGGGACCGTTGTTCTAACGTCTTGGGGTCGCGTCCGGTGCCGGTTTCGACAATATGACACGTGCGAAATAGTAAACAAGGATTTTAGGCGATAATGGCCAAAATTCTAGGCAAGGATCAGGCCACGTACGCGAAGGAACGCGACGTCTTCCTTCGGGATTTGCAGCATTTTCATGAAATTCGAGGGTAAGTTCATTTAGAAACGATCCCAATCATTAATCTGTCGTTAACGATATTTTTGCGTCATTACAGGACGCCATTCAAGCGAGCCCCTACTCTCGGAGGCAAGGAGGTCGACTTATATCTCCTTTACACTCTTGTTACTTCACAAGGCGGATGGTTGAGGGTGAGTAAACCGTTTTAGTTGCCTGCCTTTTCATAAAACCACAGTCTACTTTTATAACGATCAAATACCGAGTTGTATTCACAAAGAAAACAATGTCCTTGATAAAATTTAACTACAAACAGGGCACCATAAATACCTACCTCTCATCTGCTTCCATTCGACTGTAAAATAAGAATTTTATTTTAAAAATTAATTTATAGAAGTCTAATACTGAATTGTTAATAACTAATCATAGCAAAACATGAAATGGACGATCAAATTCACGCGACTACATTTTTCGCTGCTTCTCGGTTCTCACGTGCGCTGTTGCACTGATAGCGATTTTAGTAAATAAAAGGTTCTTTTTTCACAGTGCAAGTGTATAATGCAATCTATCGCTGTTGTATAGTAAAGAACTCTCGCCGTATATACTTTCTATCTCGCATAGGTACATAAACAGATAATAGTAACATTTCCGTTCATTAAAAAAGTCTTAACTGTGATGGAAAAGTACCAAACTTGCATTAGGTAGGTATTTTAACAAATTTATTTTATAAATAGAATGAAATGGCTTTTATTTTGAACATAGTACCTATTAAGGCACAGCTTTTTTTTTGTAGAATAATTTTTTTGCTTTATGATTATATAACGGTACAATTTTATTTTGTTATAAATTGAATCATAAAATACGTCATGAAGAAATCGAGGTCATTTAGGTAGTTTAAGTAAGTAGGTGCTTTAACACATATGCATTTTCTACGCATATTTATTAGTGTGTAAAAATAGTACAAATTAGAAATAATTAAAAAATATAAATATAGGTAGGTAGGTAATAAAAACTATATTTTTATTTAAAATTTACTTAGGTACCTACCTATGTAGATGTTTAGACTACTCAGTTCAACCAGATAGTTATAGGAACTAGATCAGGGTTGGAAGACCTGCTAAGAATAATTAAAAAATATATAAGTAGGTTTTTACGTTAATAGCTTTTTTTTAAGGTTTTATAGGGTTTTAAGGTTTTTAGTTCATACATATTATGTCAAAATTAATTATTAATAAAGGCAAAACTTGAAAAATTGAATTTTATTATAAAAAATGACATTCTGCAAACAAAAAAAAAATGGTATTTGTTATAAATTGTCACTATCATTAATATCAATATCAAGGTTATAACCTTCGATTAAATTTTGCATTTTTCATACTCATTTTTGCACCCTTTCTCCCGAGAGTTGATTAGTAAAATTGTGAATTCTTAATATTTATCTTAAATAACTTAAAAAATCTAAAATTGCAGAATTTACTTTTAGGTTTTTTTGGAAAAACCTAAAAAACGGGTGCAAAAAACCTGTAGGTATCTACCTGCCAACCCTGTACTAAGTGTAAAAAATTCACAGGAATTTTACCTATTGAAATTTACTGAGCATGCTTTTTCCCTTAACATTGTCAGGAGTTATATTAAATCAATAAACCTACCTAATATAAAAATAAAAGTTTCCACTAAAGTCTCATCAGAATATTTTTCGGGGATTTTTTTTTTTTTTTTTTTTTTTAGAACCGATTGAAAGTTTATTTATAAAATCATAGTTTTTTCATAATATCCCTTAAATTAGACGGATTTGAGCAAAAATCTGAAAATTTTGATTTTATAGAGTTAATTAATATATTATTGAGAATATCTCCATAAATATGAACTTTATGAAAAAATCAAACGAGAGCAAATAAAATTCTTTGCAAAAAAGATATCGTTTGATTTTTTCTTAAAGTTCATATTTATGGAGATATTCTTAATAATAAATGCAATCAAAATTTTCAGATTTTTTCTCAAATCCGTCTACTTTAAGAGATATTTTGAAAAAAACTATTTTATGAAAAAATAAACATCTGCTTGCGGCACGTGTTCTTGTTGTTAAAAAGAAAAAGGTTTTTTTAAGGCGTCAGAAAGAATTTAATTTTTAAAGAGCACTCTAGTAGTTTGCTCTATTTTATAAAAATGCCGCTCTACAAATTTATTTAATTTTTTAGAACCTCTCATGATGCCTAAAAACGCCATCAATGCTCAGGTGAATTTGAACATTTTTCCATTGAACCTGTGTATGCCTAAAATAATAAATAGCGTTCATTACGAATAGTTTTTAATTACATATACATATAAAATACCTATGGAGAACAAATTACAAATTCATTTTTGTTACAAAAAAAATAATTACACAGGGAAGAGGGTACCTCAATAGATACCATACTATCCCTGATTTGTATTACAGATCAGTGAATATTATACTATCCCTGTCCTTTTTTAACACGATTTTATTAGCTTCACGTGTATGTATGTTTGTAACTCTCCTTTGGACTAAAAGCAAGTGGCTTATTACTGTCAGTATATCCCACTACCTCAAGTTTGTTCGTTGGCCGAGCGGTCTAAGGCGCGGGTCTGTCAATCGCCAGACTCACCGACCGTGGGTTCTAATCCCCACGGCTTAAAAAAAAATAATTGTTTTTTTTTTCAGCAATTTCAATTTACATTTTTATTTTTCTTTTTTTTAATAATTAATCGAACTAAAAAGTAAAAAATAAATATAGTTTAAATAAACTAAAAAACACGCTTTTATAATACATCGAACTAAAAAGTTAAAAATTAATATAGTTTAAATAAAACTAAAAAACACGCTTTTAGAGCATATCAAACTAAAAAGTTAAAAATAATTTTTCAAATAAGCTTAAAACAATAATAAATGGAAAATACTAGTATTATTGTGAAAAAAGCGTGGGACGCTTTGTCCATATTTCTCGTACATCGAGCGCCCGACGCTTTTTTCACAATAATTCTAGTATTTTCCATTTATTATTGTTTTAAGCTTATTTGAAAAATTATTTTTAACTTTTTAGTTTGATATGCTCTAGAAGCGTGTTTTTTAGTTTTTTTAAACTATATTTATTTACACAAAGCTCTTAGGTACTTATATGCATTAAAAATCAAATAAAATATAATTGATACAAATGCCAGATTCTCAAAAAATCAACACATATAATCAGTGGCGGTTTGCCAGTAAGGGCACTTGGGCACGTGCCCTAGTATAATAAACCAACAAAAAAAATAACTTAATATTTTATATTTTCCTCAATGCCTATTATTATTTTATCTAATATTCAGCGCAAACCGCCTTGGCACCACACTGGACGACCGGACGTTGAGCGACGTTCCGAGAATTCCGAAATTAAGTGGAAGATGAGCACAGTACATGTATGCCTCTGTTGTTTTCTCTCTCATTATGATGCGAAAAACAAGGACGATAATATCGCTTAGCAAGAGATGAACACATGCGATGGATTATACGTCACAAGCTGCAAACCGCCTTGGCACCACACTGGACGACCGGACGTTGAGCGACGTTCCGAGAATTCCGAAATTAAGTGGAAGATGAGCACAGTACATGTATGCCTCTGTTGTTTTCTCTCTCATTATGATGCGAAAAACAAGGACAACGACAATATCGCTTAGCAAGAGATGAACACATGCGATGGATTATACGTCACAAGCGGGGCGCTGTCCTCATTGTGACGTGCTGTACCCATGGCACAGATTACCTAGACCAGATACGAATGTACGCAGCGGCATCCTTCTCACAAAGGCGATGCCGGTTTCGGCTTAAGGTGCGCGTTTGTTGGACCATGATAATAATTTTTATTTTTTAGTTATATGCTCCAGAATCGATAAAAAGTAACAAACTTTCCTTTTCCTTTTTTGTCCCAATCGCGAGTTTTTCTAATTGGTGCCGTAGTTAAAACGACATCCTATTTAATAAATAAGTCTTTGTTGATACGAAATTGTGTGTACTTTTTACAAAAACTAGTGAGACAACCTCGTAAATGTAAGTTGCGTCATTGTCAACCTCACATTCTGTAGGTATTCTTAATTTATAAAGTGATAATTCTAGGGGAACAATAACTTAACTGGAAAGAGGGTGCAAACATTTACTCTCGTCTGGTTTTGATACTATGGATGTAGGGAAATTTCTACGCTTACACTGAAAGTAATAAAAGCAGACGACAAAAAATGCTTGCAAAGGGTTTTTTTTATTATATATGCCTAGAAGCAAATGGTCAGCAAAAAACGAAAAATACAAATCGATAAGAAACATTAATTTTAATTTGACAAGTTACACGACAGCTCCCACCACCGAGACATAGTACATATTGTTCACCACCCCTCCCAACTATAAATAGGAAGCAAAAAACATGACGTGTGACTTTTTGTTGTCATAAGATACTTTATTGAATTATATTAAATAGCAATGAAAACATACCCAAATTGATCTTATTTAATTTAAATTATTGTATAAACTTGGAAAAGTAGATAACTTTTTTTAATGTAGTGTAATTATTGTATAAAATATTAAGAAACATTTATTAATTTCTCAAGAATATATTGCATACTTTTAGTTTACAGGACAATGAACTTGTTTCATTATAAATTCGTGTCTTAAAATAGTCTATTATTGATAAATAAAATTATATCCATCGAGATTGGATGTGGAACTTGTATTTTCCGAATTTTCACCCTTTTTTGGAAATTAGGAATTATTTCAAAGGGTGGTCAAATGTCGAATTCTGATCTCCCTCTGGGTTCTTTATTGTTTGGGCAAATATGGTAAAATGTTCCACATTTTGAGGCCTTATATCTTCCGAATCAATTATGATGTCCCGATGCTGTTTTCACTAAAGACGTAGAGTCATAGTTTAATGAGGCATACCGAAAAAGAAAAAAAACATCGCGCAATTTCAAAGTTCATAATCTTATTTTATTTAAATTATTTAAATTAATATATTAATACACTTTTGAAAAACCGCATTTTTTATCTATATAAATATGTGCTATTTCAAAATCTTTTAGGAAATGGCTACAAAATCAAAACGAAAAGAAATGTTTGCATGGTTAAATCTGGTCTCATTGCAAAAAATTATTTTTCTAAAACGACTAAGAACATTAAAAAAATAATTGCTTATTTTTTTATTAATTTATT